TACAGTACGAAGTCGTGTTTTAAAACAAAGACTTTAAACCCTCTCTTTTTATTGTGCAATTCCTTGGTACTCGAAGATTAGTTTTTCGTGGAAAAAATGCAACAGTTTACAAAGAAAACAATCGAAACTTTTACAAACTTGTTAAAGACATTTCAAAATTTGATACTGATCTTTTAAACATCTTCATCGAGTAACTGCAAAACATCGAGTAACTGCAAAACATCGAGTAACTGCAAAACATCGAGTAACTGCTAAACATCGACTAACTGCTAAACATCGACTAACTGCTAAACATCGAGCAAAGAAACTCATTACATTATTTGGCTAAAAAATTAAAAATAAGTTTATTGTTCTTTGTTCCTGTAAAGTTACTGAGTTTAACTTGTATGACTTACAGTAAGCTTTGTGCTATTCTATAATTCTTGACTGCACTGTTAACATAAATTGTAAAGAAAAAAAAATTCTTATTGTTTTATTTGTTTATGCAGTTCCGAAGAAAATGTGGGGGAACATTTTCTTGGATTTTTTAAGGTCTTAGATACATCTGAGCACGTGTTGATAACTTGCTTCTTAGACGAAGTTTCAAAAAAAGAAATACCCTTACAAAATAACCCTAGCCATGTTTATGGTAATGGATCAAACACGAAGGGAAAGAATTTAGACTTGCAAAAAAGAATCCTTGACAAAAACCCACAAGCGTTATTTGTTCCTTGTGGAAGCCATTCACTAAAATTTGTCGTCAATAATGCAGCACTTCCATGTACTGTAGCTGTTAACTTTTTCATCAATATTCTGAAAATTTTTCTTGATCGACCCATAGATGAAGTATATTAAAAATTCATGTAAACAATCTGACGGTAAAATCTCTCAGTGAAATCCGTTGGGAGAGCAGGATAGATGCCTTTGAACTTTTGCGATACAACATTAATGTGGTTTATGGCGCCATTGAATTATTATGGCGCTATGAATCCACGTTAGGCTTCAAGATTGATACTTTTGAAAAATGTACCGGGAATGGCTATGGGAATGGCTAAAAAATTACAGATTTCAAATTCCTCTGCTGTTTGGTCATTTGGTATAATGTCTTGTTCAGGTTTAATTTAAAAAGAAAAACACTTCAGATGAAACCTGTTAGTCTGCTGAGCGCTTCGAAACTTATTGAAAGTGTCGAGACTTTTTTGGCAAACACAAGGTAGAAAAATGGAGTGTATAGTGTTATTACAGATAAAATAGAACTGGACAAAAATTGACAATCGATCCAAAGTTCTTTAAAAAAGTTAAATAATGAGCCTGTAAAGTCGATAAGGGAGTCTTTCAAAGTAAGTTTCTTTTTTGTAGTCTTAGACACTGCAATTAATTCTTTGTCCAGAAAGATTTGAATAAATGGAAAATCAAACCAAATATGTAGAATTTTTTTATAACATGAAAAAAAATTAAAAAACGTGAAACAGATACATTTGAAAAAAAGTGCAAAAACCTGCATTCCGTTTTGAGAGCTAACGGCAAGAGTGAAAAATGAGTGAGAAATGAATTTTTCTAGATTAAAGATTATCAATAACTACGTTCTGTTTTTTCATGGATGTCTTTGTGGATAGCTACATTAGCAATTGAACACCAGTCTTTGAGTACAATTTAAACCGCTTTATTTTTAAAAAACTTTGAAAATTTAAGACAAGAAAAGTTTGATGATTAGTATTATTTTTTGTCAATATAAACTGTACAATAAGTATTTGTTAATTTCTTTGATCAAAAATGTATTTTATAACGATTAAAATTTTGTAGTCAGTTTTTATTTAAAGTGGATAAATAATTAATAAGATATTATGTTTTTATTGTATTTTAGGAGATATAATAAACATTTACCAAAACACATTATATGATAAGTTTATAATAAAAACGCATATTTTTTTTTATGTAGGGAGCGCCAAACCTAGATCTTGCATATACCAAAAAAATTTTTGAGCCGGCCCTAACTGCTAGCAGTGTTTATCTAGATTGAATAGCCAGCTTTGTTACGTTTGCACACCACAAAGGAGTTTGTATTTAACGGTATTATATTTTTTTACAATACAATATCACAAAGGGGTGTTGCAGTTAACCCTTGTTTTGAGAACAAACGTTTTTAAAAAAAAAAGGAGTTTAGGCAATTTTTATAACCATTTATATTATATTTATTTTACAAGGATTGCATTTTTTAGAATATTTCCTTTAGTCAAAAATTCAAAATAGTCTCAATTACCTCTGTACTTAATTTAGTTTAAAACATTTAAATTTTAGAAGTTTTTTTAATACTTTTTAAAGAAAAGATCTTTTAAAGAAAAGTATAGTATAAAATCATGGTTCAAAACTAATTGGAGAACTCTAAGTATGAACAAAATTTTGTTTAATATAAACTTAATAATACCGAACGACGCAGCTAAATAAGTATACTGTTATAAATGATCCTGGAATTTTACGTCTTTTAGTCCTTACCCTTTTACGTCTATATCGTTTTTTTAAGCACATTTACATTTTAGGTTGTAGTTAACCTTTTTGTTGCGGATTTTGTCATAATTTAGTTTCTGTAAAGCAACTAGCTGAAGGAGAACCACAGTAACAGAAAAAACAAAATAATATTAAGGTATACTAAAATACATGTCAATAATATAAGAACTAATAGGAAATTTTTTATAATGTATTTTTTATTAACTGTTAGTCTGTCTTTTATGCTTCTTTATCAATCTTTTGATAAAGAAGCATAAAAACTTTAAAATTTTAAAAAAATTCAAATTTTAATGGTTTAATGGGAGGTTAATTTTAGTAAAAGATGATAGGGAATGCAACAATGGTACAGGATGATACTATGCAAAAAAAAAAAAAAAGAAAAAAAGATGTCTTGTTGGGGTGGACTGCCTGTTAATAACGGGAAAATGACAAAAATATGACAATATCTAAAGGAAAAATTTTAACTGAAAAAAACTTTTTTTTTTTAAATCACTATTTATTAAGTCAAACTTTTAATAAATTTCACATTTGGTTGAAAAATTCGTAAAAATGACCACATAGACTGCGTTTTTGTAAAAGGCTTTTTTAAAAAAATTGTGCAGTTTTTTCTTTAGACAGAGAATTTGACTGTTGGTGTTTGAAGGTTTTACCTGTTTTTTAAAACAAAAAGAGTTGGATTTTGCAAAGAATTTAATGAGGATTCCGAATCTTAAAAAAAAAAAAAAAAAAAAAAAAAACGTCTTGCTTACACCATTTTTTTAAAGAAAAGGAGATTAAAATACGACTAACGAGGAGGAACAATTATAATTTAAAATAATATTTACTTGATTAACTTTTTTATAATATTAGCATGCTAAATTTAAGTAAACCTTAATTATCCAAGTAACCAAATTAAATTAAACGGATTAGAGGTTCAAAAATACCAAATCAATGATGAGAGAGTGTAAGAAAAAATGGTATTAACAATAATCGATATTATTAATAATAACACAACGTGTTTAGTGAAGAGCTTCTCTAATATTATTAAAGAAGCTATTCTTAACTTACCAAACATTTTGTGAACGCATAATTATTTTCAAAAGAAACAAGATATTATTTTACAAACAAAAAAATATATTTATCAGTTAGTTTGAAACAAGCAGTGCAAGAACATCAGCCTTTAGATATTCACCATTTTCCGAGTTTTTGAAGCTCGTAGAAGTAATAAGGCCGACCTAACTAGAAGGTGGTTGAACTGGTTTTAAATAAGGTTAACTCGAGAAAGTTTTGCGTTGTGATCTAATCTAGCTTTGCAGATTTCTTTGTAAAAGGCTTTTTGAAAATCTTCTTAAAAAAATCCGATAGGCAGTTCAAATGTTTCGTGTCCCGTGTTCAAGGAGCTTGTATACAGTTGAAGTGATTATATACCAGGAATAATTATCCACTATCAGATTTGCAGTTTTATTGCAAAACAATTTGAATTTCACACTGTCTAGCTTGAAATCTGCCCGATTAACCTTTAGGACTGTCCTCTGGACAGTCTAAAGGTTAATCGGGTCTAACAATGCCTCTACTTAATCTGGATTAAGTAACGCATAATTGAAGTTCAAAGTTATAGATAGCAAACGATTTTGTTGAGTTTATTTACTTCTTTTTATTGTACATTTTGTTGAATTTATTTACTTCTGTTTATATTGTACATTTCTAGCTCACAATTTATATTTAATAGTATAAGAAATGTTATATTTTTATATAAAAACAAATAGTTTTAATGAATTAGTTAATTCCAAATAAATACTAACTCCCCAACAAACGCAATTACAAAATTTTGATGTCTTTAATTAGAACGTACTTAATGCTGATTCAAAAAATACAAATTTAGCCATATTTACCTTTAGATACATGACACACTTTTAAACATTACTCAATAAAGTGCAGCTAAAATTTTGCATGTTAATTTTCTAAACTATTAGTGAGGTGTTGATATAATTGAAAATTTGGGCGGAACTAGGTGGAACATTTTTTGTAGGCAACTTTTTGTAAATATGAGAAAACTTTTTATTTTTAAATCCACTAAAAAATTGTTTTCTAGTTTTAAAACTAAAAAATTTTTTAGAATTTTTTTGTTTTAAAAATATTTTCCATATTTTAAGAGATAAAATAACATTAATAAATAATTACACTTTTGTTTTAAGACTTTTGACTGGTGTAAAAGGTTATTTTAAAAATATGTCAAATTGTCCGTAAAACTCTCGTTTTGTGTTTGTAAATGTCTCGCTTTTAAATAAATGTATTTATTGCCGAATAAAACGTTACATAAAAGCAAAATAAATAATTTTTAAAATAAATTTTTTGTCAAATCAATAACCCTCATGTTTTAAAAAATAGATTTTTAAACTTTTAATCTAAAAAATTAATTTTTTTAATGCAATTTTGACCACTTTTTAAGGTTTCTGAGGCACTGTGAATCACCTAAACTTTTAAAAAAGTTAAACATAAGAAAACTTTTAATATTGAACAAAATTTTGACTAACTCGTAAAATTCATCGCTTTTGTTAAAAAAAATATATAAAAAATCAAGGAGTGAATAATAGATACCACGTACGTATTCACTGTGTTTAACCAACCTCCGAATGGTTTACCTAAAAACGTACGAATGTATGCATTTGTACGTTTTTAGGTGACGTTTTGAGCTGCATAAAAAAAAAAAAAAATTCTTTCTATTAATTTAACTGCAACTAATTATTAATTTACATTTAATGAGTTATTAAAAATGATATAATAATGATAATAATGTTATTCAATGCACATACATCAACTGACGTGTATAGACTGGTGCAGTGAAGTATGCATCTAATAGAGCAGATCGCGTAGATCAACTATAATAATGACAATAATTAGGCGAATCTTTCTTACTAAGTCTTTAACGTTAGCATCCAGTCCCCATATATTTTCAGATTTTTTAGACTAAGAAAAAAATCTTTGATTTAGAGTGAGTACAAGCTAATGCATATTTTTGTTATATATTTGTCGTTGAACCCAATGGTTGTCTTTAAATCCAACGGTTGGCAACTGAAAAGCAAAAACAAAATATTGAGTTTTTGTGAATGATTCAATATTAAAGAAAAAAATGAGGAAACACTCACATTCCTTTTTTCGCGGTATAGGACGCGATTGTTTATTTTCGAGAATTCGGAAACTGGAGTTGATAAAATGATCTAAATAACAAATAGATTAAAAAAAAAAAAAATCAATAATATCATTTTTAAATCGTTGGTAAAAAATGTTACTTAAAAGTAAATTAATAACTTCTGTCACAATTTCATTGAATATATAGTGATGAAATATAAAGAAAATGTAAATAAATAATAAAAAAAATATATTTCATTAAATATAGTGATGTAAAAATCAAATTTGCAAACTTTATTTTCCAACCTTTTTCCAAATCTCTCAAAATATTTATTTATCATACAGGTATATGTAATAATTATTCATTACAGGTATATGTAGGTATAAAAAAAAACGCTTAGATACGCGTTTTAGCAAAAAAAGCGTTTTAGATACGCGTAAAGTTGCTTGATATATGTTTTAGATACGAGTAAAGTAGCTTGATACAAGTTTTAGATACGCGTAAAGTTGCTTGATATATGTTTTAGATACGAGTAAAGTAGCTTGATATAAGTTTTAGATACGCGTAAAGTTGCTTTATATAAGTTTTAGATATGAGTAAAGTTGCTTGATACATGTTTTAGATACGCGTAAAGTTGTTTGATATATGTTTTTTCCTAAGTAGTTATGTACATTTTTAAAAATATTTTTGTTATCGTCAACAAAACTTTAAATTTTTTTAAATTGTATACCACAAAACCTACATTTAAATAATTGGTTGTATCTTTGCAGGCAGTAAAATTTTAACTCAAAATTTAACGCGACTTGATATTAATTCTGCTTTAAATAAAACAGTTACTTTTAACTTGGTCTTGGAAGAAATACATGATGCAACACAAATACAACAAAACAGATACCCTAAAATAGCGTTTATGTTTTTTAACATTTTATAGGTTTCACAAGTGTTTTCAATTATTCCTTTATTGATTATATCTCGATTTTAAATATGTCGTTGCAATACTTTCAACCAAGTTTATATTGTATTTTTAACTTGTTAAAATATAATATTTTTAAAAAACAAGAATTAATTTTAGAAATATATTGAAACTAACTTTGTATTAGAAACTATAGCAAAATGCTAAACTTTTTGCAGACTTGTTTTGGTACTCTCAGGTGCATACAAGGTGGCAAGGTGATGTGGGAATAAATGGGGGTGGTGCGAATTTTTTTCCGGAACTAATAAATGGAGAATTAGAGGAGTTTATTTAAAAAAATTTGGGAGGGGGGATGATCTCAAATTTAAAAAATTTGGGAGGGGGGATGATCTCAAATTTAAAAAATTTTGGAGGGGGGATGATCTCAAATTTAATGAAGCGGATTGTATTAATAGGTGGTGGGTTTTTGTCTACTGGTGTAATAAGCAGGATTATTTTAAAATAATCTCCGATTTACATAAACGGAGGAAGGGACGATTTCCCCCAGAACACCAACGCAAATAAAATGATTTAATTTTAGAAAATATCTTGCAGGTAAATGCACATTATATATATACACATATATATATATATATATATATATATATATATATATATATATATATATGTTTCATCATAATTTCATTAAGATTTAGTATGATTATATATACATGTTTCATCATAATTTCATTAAGATTTAGTATGATTATATATATCTATTTCATCATAATTTCATTAAGATTTAGTATGATTATATATACCTGTTTCATCATAATTTCATTAAGATTTAGTATGATTATATATACCTGTTTCATCATAATTTCATTAAGATTTTGTATGATTATATATATCTTTTTCATCATAATTTCATTAAGATTTAGTATGATTATATATATCTGTTTCATCATAATTTCATTAAGATTTTGAGTTTTATGCTGTGTTGAGGAATATTAAGTGTTTTAAGTTTGCAGAATTTTTTTTTTCTTTTTTCAAACTAAATCCAAATCAAGACTTTTTTATAGATCCAAAAATAATAAATTATATTTATTTACAATTACATTTAAATTATAAGTCCAAATCGAGATTTTTTGTCGACAATTTTTATAATTAAACTAAAAACTTACTTGACTGAAAAAAAGCTTTTTTCTATATTTAGTCATAATCAGACAATAAAACTTTGCAAATAAAACTTTGCTAACTTAATCTCTAGGTTTCTACCAAACAAAATATACTTTGCTAACTTAATCTCTAGGTTTCTATGAAACAAAAACAATTACAACTTTTTTTCGTTAAAATTTGCACTTTATTGCAAATAAATTCTAGGTAATAAAAAACTGTTGAAACTACTTTAAGAAGCCATATTAGCGTCAAAGTTTTTCTTGAATCTCTTACCACATTTTGGATCTAACTTTGTGATTCAACATTGTGGTTTTTCAAGTATGATTTCCTTGTGGTATGTATGGTATCATTTTTTTAATTTCAAGTGAAGTTTTATTTATGGCTCACTCAATGAGCTATCATTTTGAGCACAGTTATACAACTAATGTAACCTTAAAAATGTAATCTTAAAAGTGTAACCTTAAAAACATAACCTTAAAAATGTACCCTTAAAAACGTAACCTTAAAAATGTAACCTTAAAAATGTAACCTTAAAAATAATGCAACTACTACTTTAAAAGGTTTTATAAAATGCATGATAAATTAAAATTTGTTTTGAAATGAACTTTTTTTTGGAACCTTTTTTTATAATATTTTTTGTTTAATGGCATTTTAAAGCTTTTACAATAAGATAACAACCTGACATTTTGTTTCACTTTATTACACATTAGGAAAACAACCTGAAGTAATATGTGTAGTAAGTAATATGTGTTTTATTTTAAAGTTCACAACTTATAGAGGTTGGATTTGATTTGGTTAATTTTATTAACATTAATTATGTATAATAGTTACCTCGATCTTCTGTAGGTTCTTCTTCTAACTTCTTTATAAGCCACAATGATAAGCACATATTTACAGCCTGAAACAAAATTAAATGTCATCAACATAAAAACTGGTTTCATGGTGTTCCATACCTAATGCAAACATTAATTACACCTTAATGTGTTTAATGTCACAAAAATTAATTACAGTTAAAATTTAAATATTACTTTAATTACACCTTTAGTATGCAAAAAAGCAAAATTTTATTGTCATTCAAGAGAGTTGGTTGTTATTCAAAATAACCAATGAGTTACGTTTTGTCCTTACTACTATAACTTATTATTTTCTTAAAAAATCTACGCAATAAATAAAATTTTTCTTTACATATTGTATATAAAATTTTACATATTGTATAAAAAAGTCTTTAAAAAGTCTGTAAAAATAATTTATTCAATGTTGCAAGTAATTAAGGTGGTACACTATTCAAATAGATATTTTTTTACTTAAAAAATGACAAAATACATTTAAAAAAAACCCCCTTTCCTACCTTTGAGCAAATTATAATGGCTTAAGGCCAAAAAATTAAAAAGGTCTTCAAAAAGATATCACAAAAAGTAAAACCTTTATATAAAATATTAGCAAAACAATTTACAGTTTTGATCACAGGTCCAGAGAATTTTTTTATGTTTATTACTTTATTGAACTGCCTTTTTTTTTGGTCAAAGTTCTGACATTATAGAGCCCATATACTTTTTGCCTAATTTAAAAAAAAAAAAAATAATATAAAAAAATAAGATAAAACTTTTATTGAAAGAAAAGCATCATCTTTAAACTCTGGGAGGCATTCTGAGACACTGATTGTTTTATCACAAAGTTTGGACAAGTTGAGACTTTTTGTTTTTAAATTGGTTTGGGGAACATCAGTAAGTTTAAAAATTTTTGATTTCGATTTGATACTATTTAATGTAATGCTACAATGTGATGACATTTGTCAAATTTTTCAGACTAAATCTTAATTTGACAAATGTCAAATGACATTTGTCAAATTAAGATTTATTTATTTATTTTTTTTCCTTATTTAAAATGCATTTTTAGACCTAAAGTCTTACTAGAGTCTTACTAGAGTCTTTTCAGTTGTTCAGAAAATGTGAAAACAAAAAATACCCAGACCCAACTTTTTAAACAAAAAATATCCAGACCCAACTTTTTATATAAATTGCTTTAAATGCGTTGTAAAAACTAGACATCAAAAGTTAAATCTAATTGTGAGGGTATATATTTGGATATATACCCTCACAATTAGATTTAACTTTTGATGTAAGTCTAGTTTATTTTATAATACTAAAAAGTTCAAAGTCTTTTCTGTGACAATTATATGTAAAATGTAACACTGCAAAGTATTCAAATGCTCTCATCATTGTTTCAACAGAATTACTTTTTATCAATAACAATTTTATTGAGAAGTTTAACTCTTTAGGTTAAACATTTCTAAATTCTGCATATTATATGATAATGAAAAGATCTTTCTGTACAATCCATAATCAGTAAGGGAAAGATTTTACTTTTTAACAGGACTTAAAGGTTTTTTGAGATAGTGGAGAATGATCTGAATTTGAAGTGCAGAAGACAAGTATACTCTATTTGCTTGTAGCCTACAACATTTACATTTATTGCTTTTAGATTTATTCCTTCAACCTATTGTTAATAACTAACCTTTAGAACTGTAAGATTGTAATTGACATTTATAGTAAAATAAGAACAAAACTTAATAAAACTTAATAAGGGAAAAAGTAATAATTGCATGAAAAAAATAACTACTGCATAGAAAAAATAATAACTGCATGTTAAAAAAATCATTACATCGTAAAAATAATTACTGCACTGCAAAAAAAATTTTGGATAGAAAAATAAATATTTATTTAGTTTAATAATAAGCATTTGTTTATTTACATTACAATATTACATTAAGTATTAATTGTATAAAAATATTAATAATATAAACAATATACCATTACTCACACATTATAAAATATAAAAGAAAAATATACACAGCTAATGTAAAAATTATTAAAATATATACTCACAGCAATGAGAACATGTAAGATACTTTGAGCAGCTTCAATATACTTTAAGTAAAAAAAGTAAAATTTAAAAAATATTGAAAAGAAATGTATATATATATATATATATATATATATATATATATATATATATATATATATATATATATATATATATATATATATATATATATATATATATATATATATATATATATATATATATATATAAAATATGATATGGATCCACCCCTGCTGATATATTATATATCAGCAGGGTTGGATGTAGACCAGCTAGTATGGGGGAGGGGGAGTTTTAAATTTTTTTGAATCGGTGCATTCAGACAATTTAGGAAAGCTTGAGGAGAGGAGGGTTGATTTGGTTGATCCTATCTATTTACGAAAGTAGGAGGGGGAGGGGGATAGGGTTAGTGGTTTAATTTTCAGGTTATTTAGTTAATTTTTTCAAAATATTAGTCTTTCAATGTCTTAATCAATGTAACTATGAAATTACATCAAATATCAATATCCCACCAGTTCAACTTTTTTTGCACCATACAAACTTATTAAAATTTTTTATCACATTTAAACAGCCTGCTTAATTTACTTCAGTTTTCAAACAAACGTTCTATTAAAAATGTAAGTTTACAAAAAAATTTTTTTTTTAATTTCTAATTACCCCTGTATGGATCCACCCTTGTATATCAGTGGGATATTCACAGTCACTAAATGGCAAATACCAGCTAAATCTATTAAAGAGCTACTCAAATTGCATTTTGATGTAAACAATGCAAATGATGCAACAATGTTGTCTGAACAAGCAACTCAATTTTTTTATTTCCTACCAATTCAAAAATTCCATAAGCAGTCTTTTCTGTTAAGCCAGTGCTTTCAGGCTTGTCTACACGCCTGTAAAAACTTTGGCGAGCGCATAAAAAATGCTTGCCAAAAAAATGAAAGCATTTTGTTTTAAATTGCAAAAAAACTTTTTTGTTTATTTGTTTAACTTTTATTAAAAGTGGTTTTTTTTTACCATTTTTTTTCAAATTATTTTATCTAGTATTTATTCAAAGCTTATTAAATATATTCATTCTTTTCACTACTTTAATTTTAATTTAAATGCCAGAAAAAAATGAACTTTTTAAATTGCGCAGACCAACTAAAAAACAACCATCATCAACGAAGAAAACTGCATAAGCAATATTTTTGCAACCAAAGTTAATTTTGCAACTAAAGTTAAATTTTTTGCTTTACGTTCTAAAGAAAATGACTTTTTTCAGTCATATATTTTGATCTCATATATATATTTGATATTTTTTGTTGATATTAAATTGTTGAAACATTAAAATACTAGTTTAATTTAACATTCGCCAAAAAAAGATCTTTCTAGTTTTTATACTTTATAATTACTTTTATATCTTTTTAACTTTTAAAATAGAAATTCTACATTGATGTCTAACAAATTTGACATTTATGCAAAACTAAGTAATGTAATGGGCTTGAAAGGAATGAATGCCTGTAGATTGCTTCTGTAAAAGATTGTATATTATTAAGAATATTTTAGTTGTGCCATTGGTAAAAAGTCTTGCATTTTTTTGGAACAAATTGATTATTTGCAATTTAGGTTAATTTATACAAAAATGAAATTAATTGTGGTTATTCCGATCCTATGAATATTGAAGACTAAAACAGTATAAATTAACCAAAAATGATTTATGATGAAAAATGTGTTTGTTTCTGGAATATGTCTGAGTTAGTTAGATGTTAAATCCATCATAGGTAATTTGAAGTACGGCTGGGTTAGCTAGATATGGTTCAGGGTTAAAATTTTTTTGGATCTAATCTTTCTGAAAATGAAGCTGCCATGAATTTCGCAGATAAAGACTTCAAGAATTTGTCACCAATAATATTCAAATTAAAAGCCAAATCTGCTGCATTTGATAAAAGCCATTTGTATAGTGAATCTGTTTTAAAAACTGTATCACCAATAGAATAGTGGAAATCTCTATAAATTGTGGATTATAACATAATGGATATTGAAGGTTTATTAAATGTACAAGCTTCTAGTGCTGGAATCGAAAGAATTTTTTCAACTTTTGGTCTTGTTCATTCTAAGTTAAGAAACCAATTGGGGGTAGAAACAGCAGCAAAGCTTGTATTTGCATATAGAACTATTATTTATTTAATATTATCTATTATTTAAAAAAAAAAACATGGTTTTTTCGTTTTTTTCAAAAAAAACCCGGTTTATTTACAACCCTGTTGCACGAAATCTAGACGTATCTCTTTTAAGTTACGTTTTTTGAATATTTTTTTGCTATATTAAATTGCAAAATGTTGGTAGCAGATAATATAGCAAAAAGGAAACTGATTTATACATATATAAAAACCATAAACTAAAACGAAATAATATGAGAACACAAAAGAAATAAAAAAAAAAAAAAAAACAACAACAAGTAACTGCTTCTTTTTATTTCTTAGAACGCGAGAGAAAGATAGTTTTTTTGGAATTTTAATTGCGAAAAGTTAATATTTAACGTGTCGTTTTTAAATAAAGTTTTTGCTAAACACAAAAAAGTAAAGGTGTGCCCCCCACAGATACGAGATGGGGCGTGCTCGCTCTTACTTCTGAGGTGAGCAATCTACCACTGTGCCACGGCTGCTAAAAACAAAGAAATATTGCATAGTTTTAGGGGGTTTTAATAATTTTTTAGTTGTTTTTAAAAATCTAAAATCTGTTCAAAGGAAGTTTTCAATCTGTTATTGTCAGAAAAATTATTTGATTGTCTACTTTTTAATTATTTCAAACGCTGTCACAAACAAAAAATCATAAAACAAATTAAAATGAAATACAGAAAAAAAGTGTGCTCTAAATTATATTTTATTTTTGATTAAATTTTTTTTTAATTCTTACTTTTTAATGGACTCGGTGCCAGGTACCCGGTCTTGGACCTGGTTTTTACCACTGGGTACCCATATACTGGTTCCAGCACACCTCTAATTCCAGGCAATTTTTTTATTCAATCTATCTTGTATTTGAATTTAAATACTTTCATAATCATGTTCAAACAGACACAGAACAATGTGTTTACTTGTAGAGAAACTTTCTTCATAAATTTCAACCATGTTTTTTTTTAAAACTTCAGGTAACATGAAGTTTCCAATAATTTAAAGCTTTTGAGAAACCCTAACTCTAATTTGAGGATCATGGCTTCAGCAAACCTTTTTGTAAGCTGTACTTTGATTTTTTTTCATTTTCTTCTCAAACTTTTTTTTTTGCCATTTCTGAGGTTAGACATTTTTTTATTTTTTATAAAATGAAACAAATAATCGTTGATGTGGAATGCTTCTGTTATGTCGTTTTCAGTAGATGTAGCTCCTTTAACCTTTTTTTTAAGGAAGAAAATTTCTTACAACTCAAAATTGATATCAATTGTGTCTTCATCTAAATTTTTGATAGTAGCAGTACTTTTTTAGTTTGAATTAAACAGCGTAACTATTCATGCTAACTAACTCAAACTATACATTTATAATTATTCTAAAAACTTATTTTAGTATTAAAACTAACTTCTATTAAAACTACCAAAACAAATTATTTATTGAGAAAAAACATTTTTTGTTTTGCTATTATACTTTTGGTTAAGAGATTAACTATTTCATGAATCTATGTATATAGTTTTTTCGATTGTAAAAATATCTGGTTTAAATAATAAATGTACTAACTGCAGAGCCTTTCAAATGATTAACATATTTGCACAATTAGATTGGGTTTTCCTCTTTTTACAAAAAAATGTTAGCCCTACATTAAAGGGAACGCCAAATCCCGAGATTTGTTTTGTTCATATTAAAAAGAATGTTAAAAAAAACGTCTGAGCAAATTTTTTTTGATTAAAACTAATTAATAAATGTATATCAAGAAAAACAAATCTTGTTGTTTTAGTCAAAGCTTGTCTTCTCCATTTTCTACGGTATTTGGAGTTTTGATAATTTATCCAAGTGCATTTAATTCATAGAAGTTTTAGTACATGACATCATAGATTTTTTTGTTTGTTTGTTTTAAATACCGATTATCATTTTTTACATACAATTTCCAAATCATATTCATTTTTTATTATATTTTAAAGTTTAAAAATATGTTTGTAAAAAAATTAAAAACAAAATAGTATTTTAGTAGTGCAACTTTTTTTTTAAAAATCGTCTAGACCACATGTATTTTGATTTCTTTTATTGTAAGTTTTTCTTTCAAAATATTAGATGAAATCATTTTAAACCTAAAATAATAATTTCAATAATTACTTTGTAAATATTGAAAAAAAAATTATAAACGCATAATTTCTCTGATTTTAAAAAATGTATTTTTTGGTATTGAGGTGATCTTATTTCATTATTTCTATTTCTATTATCATAACATATAATATCAGGGTTTCCAGCCAACATTTATGAAATTTGCATACCTTTGCATGCTACTTTTTACTAAAATAGCATGATTTTGAATGCTATTTCTCAATTGTGTTGCATACTTTTGTATGCTTCATTCAAAAAATTTGCATTCTTTTGATTTTATATATAGCGTATGGATTATATAAATTTATAAAAGCATATATATATTTTTAAATAATATTTAATATTATGGAAAACTTAAAATTGATGACTGTAGCATCAATTTTCACATTATTTTTGAGAATTGAAGCATTATTAACAAAATATATTAAAATATAAATGTTGTTAAAAATATGCACATTTTTATTATTTTTAAAATATCATAGAAAACATGTTTTTTATTACATTAGAATTATTTCAAATTCTACTGGAAATCAAAAAATAAACAGTAAAAAAAAAAAAAAAAAAGATAAGACTTAAAACAAATGTACTAAGTACATTATTGTTATTAGTATATATCATAGTATATTAAAATACATTATAAAACTATATTTCAAAACTTATAAAGTTAGATAATTTACTAAATAAAAAATAACATAAAAAGTTTGAAGAAAAGTGCTTTTTCAGCAGCTTTTATAACTTTATGATTTACTGATTTTTTCTTTTATTCACCATTGTTTTAATTAAATTAGTATATTTTATTTATTTTATTGTTTGAACTTTGTCATTAAATAAAACATAACTAATAGGAATTTTATTGAACAAAATATTTTACAAATAAATCTTGAAAATTTTTCTAAATTTTCAAGATTTATTTGTAATTCCCTTTTACGCTTTATTTCCATTTCAATCATAGCTTGTGAAGATTGGCATACAGTTCCATTACTTTATTTTGAGTAGTGCTAGGTGCAGTTTTCCATTACCTTCATCAATAGTAGTTTCTGCAACCTCGATGCCAGCTTTGCATATCCTTGATGTAATAGAATTTAAATAAAATATTTTGTTCAATAAAATTCCTATTAGTTATGTTTTATTTAATGACAAAGTTCAAACAATAAAATAAATAAAATATACTAATTTAATTAAAACAATGGTGAACAATATACCTTATATCTGTTTCGATAAGTTCTAGATCTGTTTTTTGCTGTTGAAAAGATTTTGCCAGCAACTCTGTTTGGTTTACCTTTAATGATTCAGCTTTTTCTAACCTAGTTTGCTCAGCCAAATAAACTTTATATCATTGATGAGACTCTTTACAACTTTTAATTAAGTTATTTGTTATTGGAAAATTCATAGCTCCACCTACTTGATTAAGTTCATCTTTAACTGAAAATTTTTTTTATCTACTGAACTAGGTATAGTAGCTCCATACAACAGCAATTTCACTTTTGTTCCTAATTCAATTAAACTTAATTTTCTATGGTATTCAATTTTACAGAATCAATCATTAAAATTTCAGACTGTGACTTGAACTCTCCATTATCACTTTTTAACTTTTTGGAAAAAATAAATTTTTGAAGTAAAGAGTTTAATAGTTTACACATTGCAGGATAAAGCATGTGAGTCATTGGAGATTCTGTTTGAAACTGTGCTAAAAATGTTTCAAAATCTTGTGCTGAAAAAACACAAAAGCCTAAATACCCTTGAGTCTGAACATCATTGCGCAGAGCTTCATAAATTCTTTTGTATTTATCTGTTTTAAACAAAGCGTTAAAGTTTTTTTGTTTTGGAAGAAATGTTAAAAAATACTCTTTAAGGTTTACCCATTGTTCCAAAATCCTTACAGCAACATATTTTATAGAAAACCGTGTTTCTATATGCTTTTCGTCAAACTCAGCAATCAAATTAGTTACATCAACTAAATTACCATAATCTTTACGCCTGGCACTAAACAACTAAAAAAAAAAGTGAATATAAATAAAAAGTTCATCTAAATCAAAGGAAAACTTTTTAATTCCTTTTCTAAAAGCAGTATGAACTATATGAAGGTTACATGTACCAAACTCAATAAAAATATTGTCAGACTTTTTCTTTAAATCCAGTGATTCATTTCAAAGGCCTTGTTAACATTTGGCCCATCCATCCCAACATGTAAAAAAAATGCAGAATCCAACTCAGATCAGTTTCAAATTTAAAATATTATTTTAAATATAAATAAAATGGTCTACTAGTTGGTTGTGGTCACAATGACCAATAAAAAGAGAACCACAATGTGACGTTACAATCTCTCCTTTTTTTTTGACCAATACTGAAGATACCCATCATACTGTTTTTTTACTTGCTTAGTTGTTGTCTCATTAAAATTAAAAGTGAATGGTGTTTTTTTAATATCAGATTTCAACATAGTTTTAACATAAGAGACAACTCCAAATTGTATTTGATATTTAATTTTTGATTCACCTTGCTTATAACCCTTTGCTACAACAGAATCAGGAAACATAGAGCTAAATCTTGCGTTGTCGTTTTCAGTTGACTTGAAAATATAATTACAATAGACAACATGTAAAGCTTGCATAATTTCTGCATGAGAGATCTGATCATCTATATGGACATTCGAAAATCCAACATTTGAAAGTGTTTCAAATGTATTTTGATGTATGTACTGCTTTTGGTTGTTTAATATTTTACAAAGATCTTTACTAACATGATTTTTGCCCCTATCATGCCTCACAAGTTGACTAATGCCACTGGCAGATATACTAAAAGATTTCTTACAATAAATGCAATGCGCTAAACTTAAATTGTTGTTAACATCTTTGACCTACTTGAATCTACTTTTCCAAGATTTTTGGTAAGAGGTCTTGCCATTTATATATTTTAGTAATTACTAATCTAGAAAATCTAAATTAACCAAAATAAATCAAACAAAAAGAAGTTTTAAATAAACCAAATAATACAAATCATTATGATTAATAAATAAATAAAACACAAATAATATTAAAACACTTATTATTAATAGACATTTTCTATATAAAAAATACACAGTAGTTACTTTTAAAAATATGTGACCAGAATTTTAAAAACCTAATTTAAAAAATTGATTATTTTTAATTTTGCATGCTTAACTAACAAAAATGCATGCTTTTACATGCCTATGTAAGCAATTGCATGCTTTGCATGCCGAGTGGGAACCCTGCAATATATATAATGGCTATGGAAGGTCCAAAAAGTTAGGGAAGGGGCTAAAACAAAAATAAAATGCAGCCAGAATCATAATTCAAATCAAATCATAATTAAATCAGAAAAAGCAGGACTCTTCAGAAATAGGGGAGGGGGAGGGGGTTATTGCCATTTGTTCCTATGTCAGTGAGTATATACTATATTCTGTAAGACAGTGATCAGTGATAAGACAAAAAATCTTCTTCTTGTCCGTTCATTAACTTAGTTTTAAATTTATGTGCGTAGTAAACGATAAAATAACATTTGGAAAAAAGTAAAAAGATGAACTTTTTTTATTTAGATAATTTTCATACATTTTTATGGCACTCTCCTATATAAAAAGATGACCTTGGTCACCTTATAATAGATTCTGAATTTCGTTGTTTATTTAAACAGTGAAATCTTTTTTTTAATTTTATCAATATAATTCAACTTTTCTTTTATTATTTGTATTTCCTATCGAAACGATGTTTTAATCAATAATTAATTTCAATAAATGACTGTATTAAGGATATTTGATGAATTGTTAAATTTTTTGTATTAGAAAATATTTTTAATTATGTTAATTAAATTTTATTAATTGGGATATGGATAAAAGAGTAATGTATGTATGGACAACAATGTGAATAAATAATAAAAGTTTGACTTGTATTTATTCTATTTGTGGAATAATCAACTCAATAATAACATTTTCTTGCAATCTTCAAAAATATTCATTCCAATTTTGTAAAATCAAAAATATCATACAAATTTTAAAAAACAAACTTAATTCAAATATATTCTGACATGTGGCTAAATAAGTTAAATTTATGATAACACGACCGTCAACATGGCCTTCAAAGTGGGGGAAATTTCAAAGAGGCTCACTCCTCGATTTAAAAAAAATCTTACATTTCAAGAAAAAAAAGTTATCCTTAAAAAAAAGTTGGGGGGCTGTCAACACCAGGAGCCCCTAGCTCAGTGTTGACAGCCATGGATAATACCATAAGAAAAGTTTAGAAATAAAAGTTTCTAATAAAAATTTACAAAACAATACAAAACAACTTTTTATCAGTATCTTTATATCATATAATAACATTAAATATTGATAAAATCCAAATTATAGCTACCAGTGCCATGGATAGGGGTTGGAGATCCCCTCCCTATAAAACATGTCATTAGGGTCTCAACATTAAAAAAAACTTTGAATGTTAGATAAAGAAAAATTTTTTTTTAATTTGGTAAAATTAATCTTAAAATCAATCTTAAATTTTAAAAAAAGAACATTTAAATTTACTCCCCGCCCCCCATTTAAGGTGTAGCTGATAGGCCACAGCGTGATATTTTATTGGATTTGCAGAACAACCAAAAAAATCCAAAAATACCAAATCTACTACTAAGGCCTACTTGGTTTATAAAAAAAGGACATTTGGTTTATAAAAAAAATTTGGCGCCATAGGGGTCCCTAGGTCCACCATTGCCATGGCCCATATAGCCACGGCTCTGATAGCTACAAAAAAACATAAAATATTTTTTTATGTGAAGATTTTAGAAATCAAATAACTATAGTTATTTTAGTAAAATTTAAAAGTAAAATTTTTTTAAAGAATTTCTAGAATGTTTCCAATGAAGTCATGTACTAAAACTCCTATGAATTAAACACACTTGAATAAATTATCAAGTTTGTATAATGCGCCTGGAAAGTCGCGTTTATTTTAAAGACTACAAATACCGTAGAAAATGGAGACAGGCTTCGACTAAAGCAACAAGTTTTTCTTGGTATATATTTATTAATTAGTTTTAATCAAAAAAAATTTGCTTAGACATTTTTTTTTAACATTCTCTTTAATATGAACACAACATGTCTAGGGACTTGGTGGTCCCTTTAAGCAGTACATTAAGCATTTTCGATTTAAAGATATTAGCAGAACTTGTTTTCAACCAATAATAAGGACAATTTTTAAAAATTATAAATACAACTTGTTTTGGCACTTGGGGATCACTTTAAACAAAATAATGCTGATTTTGAACATTTTTTTTATTAATTTATACAATTGTAGATTTGAAAACATTTTAAACTTGATCTTTGTGGAACATAGATTAAGTCAGCTAGTTGATATTGGTATGACACAATTTTGTATAAACAAAAACAATGACAATCCAGCTTTCGAACCCGATCTTAATCTTTATTTTGAAAAATTTTGGGATAAGACATCACATTAAATTTGAATTGTTCTATTTATAGCGGCATCTAATACAAATAAAACATTTCATATTGGATATAAAACATAAAAGGGTCTAAAGTTACCCAAAAATTTTGCCAGGTCAAGTAAATATCCTCCCCCCCCCCACAAAAAAAAAAAAGTATTTACTTGACCCAATAATATTAAAGTCCCTGAAGGTTTGCATACAAATTCAGAAAAAAAATTCTCACCTCAAATTTAATAACGCAGGAATCTACCTCAATGCTTTTTGTAGAGTTACAGCCAAAACCATTGATTGCAAACCAACTTTGGCTTTTTTTTTTAAAACTTAACCATTTATACTCCTAAACAACATAATAAAATATATAGAAGAATTACAAAATAAAATTAGCATTTTAACAACTAGAATCTTAAATCTGGTAAATTTTTACTTTTTATTCATTTATTTTTATTAACAATTAGGCCACATCGATTATAAAAATTATACAAAATTTAAACAAAATTATTAAACTACAACAGTTTTTTTCTTTCACTCCATTTAAACCTAAATTGAGTAGCATCCTCAGAAACCTGACACTCACTTGATTTATACTTATTTGTAAAAAAAAAGCATTACTTAAGAATTAATAGTCACAAGAGCAAAAAAGAAATAAACCATACTATTTTTTGTTGCAATTACTTTTTAAATGGTTCATAGAAGATGTCATGATCTTGAAGAAAGATATGCTTTACTTTTTAGTCTGCTATAAAAACGATTGCACCTAAAAACCAGCCCAGGTAGTCCCATCCCAGTCAATGGCTTAAAACCCAGTCAGAATAAAAAAACAAACTAATATTATTATACCAAGTTTACAAGTATAAAAATATTTTTAATTTAAACATTTTTTTTTCATAAAAATAAAAAAAGTTTTAAACAACATAAACCAATAACATAGCATTTATTTGTTCAAAGGCATTGGCTACACGAAAATGTCATGTGAGAAGACTAACATCATGCACAAGCTTTATGACACCTACGATTGCACTGATTGCATTGCGACTATTTTAAACAAGCACCACAGGGTTTAACACAAAACAGGATGTTGCATATATCTTCACTATCAATATTAGCACACATGTGTTGCACAAGTCTAGGACGAATGTATCGACAGTATAATTCTACAAATAATGGATCTACAATACTGGTAATGGTTACTGCAAATATTAGAGTAAAACTTCACAACTATTACGATTGGGTTGATGAGAGCTTAATAAGTTAATTAGAGTTTGGCTCTAGTGTCAGTGACTTCGCAGGCATTAAAGCGCACAACTTTTGCCTTTCTCAATCCCTAACTCAAATAGTCAACTTTCCAACTCACTTTCCAGACAATCCGAATCATTTACCTCCTTTACTCGATTTATGTCTTGTTTCTGATCCTAGTCAGTGCTCAGTTTTTCCACATTCACCCTTAGGTGCTTCCGATCATGGTTTGGCCTCTCTAAAACTATTATCTTATTCGTCTTTATCATCAGAATCCCCCTATCATTGTAGATCTTAAAACTACCTTAAAGCTGACTGGAACTCTTTCCGTGATTTTCATTGTTATGACCCTTGGGTAGAAATCTTTTGCCTTCCTGTTGACAAATGTGCTTCTTATATAACTTCATAGATAAAATACTTTATTCCCTCTCGACAATTCCAGGTCAAGCCTCACTCTTCTCCATGGTTTTCTTCACATTGTGCTGCTGCAATTGCCAATCAAACCATTACTTTCATATTTATCAGCAAAACAATTCTCCAGAAAACAGACAATTGTTTATTACTGCTAGGAACCACTGTAAAAAGGTTTTGTCTAACGCCAAAGCCCGCTATTCTTAGATCATGAAATCTTGTATTTCATCTCAAAAATTAGGTTTTTGTGATTTCTGGAGAATCTTTAATAGTATCAATAAAAAGGGCAAGTCTGTATTTCCACATCTTTTGTATGGTTCAGACTTTGTCACCTCACCTAAAGACAAAGCTGAATTGTTTGCTAAGAACTTTTCATTAATATCAACTCTTGATTCTGCTAGTTGCATTCTACCTGATATAGCCGTCAAACAGGTTGATCCATTGCTCGACATCCGTATCACTCCAACTTCTGTATCTAAAGTGATTTCCTGTTTAGACTCTTCTACAGGTTGTGGCCCGGACAACATACCTGCTATAGTCTTGCAGAAATGTTCTCCGGAGCTGTCGTCTATCCTTTCAAAACTATTCAACAAGTACTTATCAGAGTCTTGTTTTCCAGCCTGCTAGAAAGCAGCAGCTGTTATCCCCATTTTTTAAAAATTCTGGAGAGTGATCTGATTAGTCTAACTACCATTAGTCTTCTTCCTATCATAAGCAAGGTTTTTGAATCTTTAAATAACAAACACTTAATCTCTTATCTCGAATCTCATAACATACTTTCTGATCATCAATATGGATTTCTATCTTCTCGTTTTACGGCTGATTTGCTAACAGTAATAACAGATAGGTTTTATCGCGCATTAGATAAAGGTGCACAGATTATCGCTCTTGACATTTCTAAAGCATTTGATAAAGTTTGGCATGCTGATCTTCTCCATAAACAGTCTTCTTACAATGTATCTGGAAACATCTTTAAGATTATTGAATCCTTCCTTTCCAATCGTAGTATAAAGTTGTCCTTGATGGACAGCACTCTTCTTCTTATTCTGTAACCTCAGGTGTTCATCAAGAATCAATCCTTGGCCCTATACTCTTTTTAATTTACATTAATGATCTTCCAGATATTCTCGCATCTAAGGTGGCATTGTTCGCTGAAAATAGTACCATTTATTCTTGTCACGATAAGAACCCAACTCCCTCTGATTGCTTGCAGGGGGCATCTGAGCTTGAAAAGGTTCTCATTTCTGCTACAGCATGGGGCTCACAGTATCTGGTGAACTTTAATTCAGATAAAACTCAATATTTTCAGCCAATCGTTATTGCAATAATCTAGACCTTCCTATATTTATGAGCGGTAGTGTACTCGATGAGTCTCCTACCCTTCATCTTCTAGGATTAACTCTTACTTCTGATCTTTCTTGGAAACCTTATATCAAATCAGTTGCAAAATTAGCATCTGCTAAAGTCACTTCTCTTTATCGAGCTCGTCACTTTCTTACTCTGGATTCTATTCTCCAGGCCTTCTCGTAAGAGGCGTGCGATCGCACGCCTTATATGACCACGCATATAATTCTTTGTTTTAACAACTTGACCATGGCTCATTGCAAGTTTTGATAATTAACGCATTTAAAAATTGTGTTAAAAAAAAAACAAAGCAAATTAAAATAAACAATCCAAAAACTGAAAAGAGAATAAAATCCTTAAAATAATATATATAACAAAAATTAACCTAAAAAATTAAAATATTTAAAGAATGATAAAATAAATAAAGGAAAAACCAGAAAAAAAAATTAAAACACGTATTAATTAATTTAAACTTAATTGGAAGCAAAAGTGAAAAAATCACAGCTCTAATAATCTTTTATCATTCCTTCCCATGAATAAATAGGCTAATACAAAGGCGGATCCATAGTGAGGGAAAGGGTAATGAAATTTAATAAAATTTTGTGGTGAAAATTTAAAATTTCATTAAAAAGTTAATAGGATATAGGGTGCAACAAATTGACAAATGTGCGCATTTTTTTTTAATTTTGCTTATGCAAATGTTGCCGTTTGATTAAAATTTTTCAAAACAAACGCGTTACTTTAGCAATTTTTTCAAAATAATTTTGCGATCAATAGTTTTTTATTTATTACAAAAAACACATATACAAAAAACACATATTTAAAATGAAAAAAAATTAATTGCAGAGACTTTTTTTAAAAAATGCCAAAACATAATTACTTTTTTCAATTGCCTCACTTTTGAGTAAAATAAAAAAAAGTAATTATGTTTTAGGATGGTTTTTGCATGCGCTCACAAAAATATGATAATTTTACTTAAAAAAGATGCTTTTGCAAAAACTTTAAAAGAAAACCGTCCTTAAACAATTTTATTGCTTTCATTTATTGAAGAAAGCAATCGTAATGTTTAAGCTTGGTTTCTTTTCTGCTTTTAGCAATTACATTAAAAGTTTAAAGTAAATGATTTCATTATTAATAAAATTGTGCATTCTTTTTTTTTTTAATTTTCTTATTTTCCCTAAACTGAAATGTTTGTTTGCATATTAAAAACACTTTTAAAAGTTTTTTTTATTGTTCGTTTATCATTAATTTGTGCGCGCTTTGCAAATGTGTAAAAAAAGCGTCCGATCTTTATTAGAAATTATAGTTCCATGATAAAAAGGTTTGTAATTATTTTTTGATAGCTTCTGTATTCATTTAGCCTCAAACTCTAATCTGAATAATTTTTTCAACGATTGCTTTTATTAAGTTGCATTAAAGTACTCAGGAAATTTTATGGCAGTTTAATTGTAATTATGGAATCAATTAAATTAAGAATTGTATTTACATTTGCTTTGTTTTCTTTAAGCACATTTTTTAAACGCGCTAATTATTGAAACTTGCAAAGAGCCGTGGTCAAGTTGTTAAAACAAAGAACTATATGCGTGGTCATATAAAGCGTCCGATCACACGCCTCTTACGAGAAGGCCTGATTCTCTATCTCTATAAATCTCAAATCTGGCCTTGTATGGAATACTGTTGCCATATCTGGGGCAGACCTTCTAATAATGCCCTTTCTCTTTTAGACAAGGTGCAAAAATGCATTGTAAACATACTTGGACCTGCTCTTCAACCAATGTCACATTGTTGTAATGTTGCTTTTATTTTTCTTTTCTACAAATACTATAATGGGCACTGCTCTAAAAAGCTAGCATCTCTTGTACCATCTACTAAAATTCATTCCCGTGTTACTCATCATTCAAATAAGTCTCATCCTTTTTCTGTGACTGTTCTTAAGTGATCCAAACTCTTATTCCTCTAGTTTTTTCCCTCGAACATCAGTTCTTTAAAATTCACTTCCTTCATCTTGCTTTTCTGATTCATATAATTTGTAATCTTTTAAGTCGTCTGTCAATCGTTATCTTGCTCTACAATCTTCATCTTTTCAAAAAAAAAAAAAAAGTTAAAAACAATTATGTCCCATACTCTAAATTTATTAATAACATCTAATGTTATAGCTTGATATGTTTGTCAGAATATGAGATATATTCTCACAAATATATCAAGCTTCAAATTATTATACTTATTACGAGAATCCGCAAATCCAACTGCTTTATCAAGAAAATTGCCAATTAAGAGTGTTTAGTGGTTGTTGTTAACATGGAGGGGTAGAGAATTCTGTGGTAGTTGCATAGATGGACATTTTTTATAAAGTCAACCATCAAGGTTTTATATTCAACATTTATATTAAGCATTTCTTGATGCATTAAGTATGGCTTAGCATGAATGGTAAGTTTTATTTGGTCTCTGTTGTACTCTAAACAAATATTATTTGAAAATCTGTACAACTTTAACCAATCAAAAAGTAAACAAATACATGTCTTTTGCAAAAACAAAGATTTTTAGTAAAATAAAGATAAGTCAACTTTTAAGGTGGGCCAGGCTGGGTTTTAGGTTTTTGGGCCAGGCTGGGTTTTAAGCATAACCTAATAAAACATTGTTTTAAAGCATTTTCCTAACTAATTAAGTCTTTTTTGGTTGGTTTAAAATCTATGATTCCATACTTGTGCAATGTTGACATGATTTTCATGATTTTACAAGTTATTGTTAGGATAACTAGTTTTCCATTTTTGACAGAACTTTCTATTGTATACTAAGAATAGAAAAATGACCACCCAAAATTTTTGTGCTTATACCCTTAACCACAACTAAATTATCATATCATAATTATCCTTGTAAGTTACTTTCACTAGAGTTAAGCTGTGCACTTAGGTATACATGAGCAGCTGTAGTGCAAATGGTCCTCCGCAGTGCTTCACGATTAGACTGTAAGGACTTCTTGGGGTGCAAGTTAAAACACTTTAAAAATTAAAATGATTTTCAAAATGATTTTGAGACGATTTGTTAAAGGGGAGGAGGGGGTTATTCAAAATTGTGACAAAACTTTTTTTATTTTTACCAACTTTCAAATCTAGAAAATCTTTTCAATAGATTGAAAAAGTGCCTCTGCTTAAAACATAAATTATCAGTTGATTGACATTTGAATGCAGCTATTTCCAAATTAACATAAATTAGAAATTGACTTTTTAAATTGACTTAAATTTTAGTAGTAATTAGTTTTAATGCAACAAGTTAGACATCTATATTAAATATAGATGTCTAACTTGTTGCATAATTTTAGGAGGGCAGGGGGTTATTATTTAATTGTCAACATTTCAGAATTGTTTATATTTGAACATAAACACTTTTTTGATTAAATATCAACTTATCTTTATTAAAACAGATTTACAATGAGATAGTAGTTACAAAACTTCCTCATATTTCAAAACCTATTTTCTGTGCTGGTAAAAATCTTATGATCTATAGTTCAGGTATATTGAACAGCATGAACCATGAATTGAACAGCAAAAAATTGAAAGAAACTTCCCTAATTTTATGCAAATGCATTAATAAATATAAACAAAATTGTGTTAATTTTCTTTCCCCTGTGTTTCAGCTCTTCTACTTAAAAAGTATTAAACCTAATAAATAAGAATGATAGCCTAAAAGTGTCTGCTAATAAATCAACTAGTATGATCAAATATTGAATACTTTAACTGATCCTTATTAATTAATAAATGGAGGAAATTTTCAAGGATTGCTGTTTAATCACTTTTGACTTTTGCACACATTCATAAAAGAGGAATCCGATGCTTTAAGTAAAAGTAATCATGAGTCACATTTGATAATTGATTATATTGATACAGCAAAAGAAAATTAAGTTCATTTGCTGACTTTAATGCAACATACATCACATGAGTTGATGTTGGCTTTTACGAACCATCTGAACGCTTGTATAATTTGGAATGTATATTTTGGCTTGTAAACAATCCAGGAAAAGCAGTTTCTATTTTTGAACTTTTGGGATACAAGCTTGGTTAAGAGCATCATTGCCTAAAAACACTTTGAGTGGGTTTTTTCATATGGCTTGTGGACACAAGAAAACAAATGGCTTTTGTTTAAAATGCATTTAATGTTTGCTAATATTGTTAAAGTTAAACATTGTCCAAAACCCAATCAACCTTTACCAATAGACCGACAACATTTTTTTTTTATAATAGGCTTACTAAGGTACTTCCAGAAACCCAGAAATTACTCAGAAATTACAAAAACTCCTAGTTCCTTACTCAAAAAGTAAGGAACTAGGAATACTTTATGCCTCTTTCCTTATTGTTGCCTCTTTTCTTACAATGAGGCTAGAGTCAGCATTGAAACTCAGATTATTAGATAACTCTAATTATCTTATTGTTTTAAGTTATTATTTAACTATAATTGTGTCTATTATTTTAAGTTAAACACAATGTAGGAAAACCTTATTAACATTCTTTCATGACAAAAACAATACTTATAAGGAAGGCAAAAATAAAATCTAGTTAATATAAACCTAGTTAATATAATCTACTTTTCTCTTAGCTACAGTCAGGTTTTAAACTTAGTTTTATTTTGAAGATAAACAAATTGATATTTCATGTAAACTTAAACAGGTTAAAAAATAAATGCAAACTTAAAAAACTGCGTATTTAAACTGTGTAACCCTTTTTTTTTATAAAGTAGAATAAAAAAAAAAGTTCCTTTTATTACACAGAGTTTATTTTGCAAGAAAAAACATGGTTTAAGGCTGATTTTTCTTATTGTTCTTCCCTCCACTGAATACTTACAATGTATAGTTTTCATTTGTTTCATTTAACTTTTTTGTTTTCTTTTGATAAAAAAAATAAATCGTCTTAAACTTGTAAATAAAAATAAACTTACATGGGAGAGTGAACCAACTCTTAAATATGTAAACACAACAACAACGTTTAAAACTATCCATAAAAAAGACCATATGATAAACTAAAATAAAAATTTGCCAGTATTTAGTAAGTAATTTAAATTTATAATACTAAAAAAAAATTAACATAAAAAAAAACCTACAAATTTTATAAACTTTGTGTTGAGTTTGTAAACTCCGAATACAACAATGATATTTGCAAGTAATGTAAGACATGTTGTTAAAATTAAAACGTAAATTTTTCCCAAAGAATCAAATATCAGCCTTTCTAGTAGCAATGCCTGGTAAAAAGTAATGTTTGGTTTAAAAGCATTAAGTGTTTATAAAATAAAGATTTAAAAGCTTTATATAAATAAGATTCTAATGTCGTATAACTCAAAATTTTGATATATCAAACTATATAATTTAGTATCCTGAGACTCTTTATAGACTTAATATTGCTTCTAATTTGGTTTAAAAGTCATTCAAACTTACACTTTAAAATAAAGTTCTGAAGGAAATTAAGTTTTTCATATTTTTTGCTTAAAAAACATTTTCTATTTTCTCTTAGTGGCAGATTTATGTTTCAATATAATTTATCTAAATAATCAAGAGTATTTACTAAACCGTGCCATTAGAATAATCATCTATTTCCCTCTAGTAATGTTGAGAGAATTTTAAAAAATTTGTTCTTTTTTCTTTTTTTTTAGTGCTTCCAAGGTTTGATTAAAAAATGAAAAAAATCAAATTTGTTAAATTGATTGCTTATTCTAACCAGTGGTGTAGAAAGGTTTTAAATGTTTAAAATAACCAACTTATAAACAACAAGAATATTCAAAAATTTTTTACCTTCATATGATATGAACATATTTTTTTATTTTTATTTATTCATTTATTTGAGTTTTCATGCTATATTTTTCTAAACGATGTTTTCATATCCGAAGATATTGTTGGCTTAGCATAGGAACAGCCACAAATAGTCATTAAGACTAATCCAAAGTAGGGTCCGTTATTGACCAACATTTTTGCGTACCGAAGTACTCTACTCAAGCGCTGAGTTGGCGGTGACGGGATTTGAGCTCGTATCGTTCAACAGTCCGGGTTTAAAATTTTCCCGCTGCACCTAACATTAAAACACGAACATAAAAAAATTTGGAATATTTTTGTTGTTTATAGTTGGTTATTTTAAACATATTTTAAGGAATCTTTTCATCATACATATGAATCATATGACGAAAAGATTCTTAAAAAAAAATATTCTGCGATAGGAGAATGGGAACAAGAAACTCTAAAATCTTAGCCTCTCCCCCCCCCCCCTAAACATAAGAGCAACAAGTTGATGAAATATTTTTTGTACTATTTTCAACTAGACTTTAAATTTTATAGTAAATATTGTTCAAAAATTATGATCATATAAAGTTTGCAACAACCTCAAATTGAGGGGGGTTTAAACTTTATATGGTCATAATTTTTGAACACCAAAAAAATTTTACTATGAAATTTAAAATTTCTCGATGAATATAAGTCTAGTTGAAAATAGTACAAAAAATATTTCATCAATTTGTCTTGTCCCCCTGATTGGGGCTCAATAATTCGGTCTTAAAAGAAAAAATTTAATCTTGATGGTTCAGACGGATATCAATATTGTTGGCATGACTTACGAGAAGAGCCCTCGACTTTCATTTGCATTTTTTAAGCCTGGGTTATCTGAATTGAAGTTCTTAGAAGAGAAACAAACAGTTGAAGACTATATTATTATACTCTGTGATTACTTAATGTCATATGGGTATGCGTTATCTTGCATAAACACGCTTGTCTTTATGCAAGATCATATATACACATCGATACATACGACAAAGACCGTGATGGAATTTGTAATGGAACATGACATCCAGTTGTTTGACCATCCAGCGCAATCACCCAACTTGAATCTAATTAAAAACATTTGTAGATACTTGTCTTGTCACGTGTATGCAAATGGAAAACAAAACAGTAACGTCACGGTAATGAAAATGGTCATCTAGATGGAATGGAACAGAATCCCCCAATCTTTACTAAAACGCTCATTTCCATTTCCATGCCTAAGCGTTGCATTCAGATTATTATGAAAAAAGGTAAGAAGATTGACAATTCGTTTCTACGTCTTAGTAATCTCTGAAACCTGTTGAAATGGTGTGTGTGCTATTGGTTTGGTACATAATGTATTTTTAATTTTATTCATTTTTTGTTTTTTACATCTTTTAAACAAAAACAAAGACAATATTGTCCTTCATTTGTATTTTATTTTTTGTGTTAAATTGTGTTAAATATGTACAAATTATTGTGTTGAATTTAATACGTTTATACACCTATTTTTATTAGTGTTGTGGCCAAAACAAAAAATTGTAACTAACTAAACTAAAAAAACCATAACTAAATTTAGTCGACTAACTTTTTAGTTAACTAAAATTAACCGACTAACTTTTTAGTTAACTTAAATCAGTTGAATGACTTTTTAATTAATTAAAATTACCCGAATAACTCTTTAGTTAACTTAAAATACCCAACTAACTTTTTAGTCTAACTAAAATTAGTCGACTAATATTTTACTTAACTAAAATTAAAAATTAAAAATGTTAGTCGACTTTATACATCTGCTGACTTATCTAAAAGAGTCAAATTGGCTTACTAAATGAGCTAAAAGTTCATTGATGGGATGTCACACACAAAACCAACCACCCCATCCCTTCACCCCTTTGGCCTTGGTAGCTTATTCAATTATAAAGATATTTGTGTTTTACCATATTTACTTTTTAGATTTTTTATGAAATATTTTCTTGAAGTATCTTGTTAAACCTTTGCGGTATTATGCGGTAATTTTTGCGGTATTATGCGGTAAAATGATCATACATTAGCAAACTTATTCAAAAATTCTAATAGAAATGTTATCATGAACCCAAATTATTTATATTATATATATTTATAAATTTCTTTAGTTGAACTAAAAAAAATGTCGGGTATATTTAGTTAACTAAAAACATAGTTGGTTAATTTTAGTTAAGTAAAAAATTAGTCGGGTAATTTTTGTTGACTAAAATATTAGTCGACTATTTTTTATTAAAAATTAAAAATATTAGTCGACTAATTTTTACTTAACTAAAATTAACCGACTATGTTAATAGACTATATATATATATATATATATATATATATATATATATATATATATATATATATATATATATATATATATATATATATATATATATATATATATATATATATATATATATATATATATATATATATATATATATATATATATATATATATATATATATATATATATATATATATATATATATATATATATATATATATATATATATATATATATATATATATATATATATATATATATATATATATATATATATATATATATTATATATATATATATATATATATATATATATATATATATATATATATATATATATATATATATATATTATATATATATATATATATATATATATATATATATATATATATATATATATATATATATATATATATATATATATATATATATATATATATTATATATATTATATATATATATATATATTTATATATATATACTATATATATATATATATATATATATATATATATATAGATATATATATATATATATATATATATATATCTATATATATATATATATATATATATATATATATATAATATATATATATATATATATATAGATATATATATATATATTATATATCTATATATATATATATATATATATATATATATATATATATATATATAATATATATATATATATAGATATATATATATATAAT